CATATCCTCTTTGATCTTTTTTAGAGTACTGTCATTATCAATGTATAGATAATTTTGCTTTTAACTCCTTTGTTAGCTTGTTTGCTAAATATTTTTTGATACTAGTATGAAACTTATGGCTTCTCTAATTTCTCTCTTGGTGAGTTTGTTGTGTACAGAAATGCTATTAACTTTTGAGTGTTAATTTTTATCTAGATATACTACTGAATTTGGTTATTAAATCAAGGGATCTTTTGCTAGAGTTTTGGGGGTCTTCTATACAGAGTATCATGTCATCCTTTTACTTCTCTCTCTTGTCTAATTGCTCTGGCTGATGTTTCCAGAACTATATGGAATAAGAGTGGTAATAGTGAACATCCTTGCCTTATTCTTGATTTTAGTGTGAAAGCTTTCAGTTTTTGACCAGTTAGTATGATTTTAGCTGTTGGTTTGTTATAGATGGGTTTTATCAGATTGATGTAAAGACCACTGATTCCAATTTTCTGTAGGGTTTTTATCATGAATGAGTATTGGTCTTTGTCAGATGTTTTTCTGCATCTATTGAGATGACATTGTGATGTTTGTCTTTGGCTCTGTTACTATGGTGTATTATGTTTATTAATTTATGTATGTTGAAACACCCCTGAGATGAATCCTACTTGGTCATGGTGAATAAGCATCTTGACTTCCTGCGTTTTGTTCATCAGTATCTTATTGAGGATTTTTGCATCTATGTTCATTAGGAAGATTGGCCTGTAGCTTCCTGTTTTCTTTGGATCCCTCTCTGGTTTTGATATCAGTGTGATACTTGCCCAAAGGAATGATTTTGGAAGTATTACCTCCGTTTCAATTTCATTAGAGTTTCAGCATTTAAGGTATTAGATCGTCTCTAAGTTTCTTGTAGAATTCAACAGTGAATCCATCAGGACCTAAGCATTTCTTTTTTAGTAAGATTTTAATTTCATTCACTAATATCAAGTTATTTAGCATCAGGTTAATAATATCCCTTAGTTATTGTGGGCTGATCAGGTCCACAATCTCCTGAATGAGTGTATGGCAAAGGCTAAATATAAAGAGGCAAATGGCACAATTTCAGGGCTCCCAGAGCATCAAAGCCCTCTTACAGGATTAAAGATTCTCTCAGAGCTAAGACCAAGACCTTCTCTGGGTCACCCATATTTATTTCGTTATCGGAAGGAGGGAGGGGAGTACTTAAGAAGGGCAGAACCACTCAAGAATGAGATGCCTGAGGCTATAGTCTTTATCCAGTTGAGATCTGATCCAGGTGTCCTTGGCTGTGATCTTGTCTTATCCTTTGAGGCTTTCCAGCTTCATCCACCACTACAGGTTTTAGTAGGGATTAGTGACTCACAGAGGTTCACTTACTATGAGTCCACCATTTCCAGATAAGGAGCCTAGGCCTTGGACA